TACCAGGCCGGAGCACCGCTGTGTCTTTTGCCCAGCCTGGAGGTTATGAGGCCCAGCGTTACACCTTTCTTCTGGCTTTTTGTTTATTTCTCACACTTTCTGTGTTGTGGTTGGTCCCTGCTAGCCTCACACCGGTGCTGCCGTCCCCTCGCGCGGGGCGTTGGCTGCTCACCAGTGCTCACCGCGGTGCCTCCCGCTCCACACTGTCACACTGACGTCTCCCAGTTGAGGAGAAAGAAAGAGGTGGAAGTGTCTCTGATAAATGGAGTTTCAAACAGAAGTTCAGGAGGAAAGTTGGATCTTAATCTCACCCACATCCACTTGCCTAAGTGTCTCAGACTCGCACCCGGGACTTCCTTCACATTTCACCCCTCTGTCGAATTCATCAGGACCTAATCAACTATTGAACAGGCTGTAAATCTGTGTCCTGGTTTGTGTATTTAATGAATAAACCCATGAATGACACAAAGGATTATCTGTCAATTTAATTTTATTATCCATCTTAAGGAAACAAATTTTGTCTTATAAGTGATCAAGAAATATACACAAACACCAATGAGCTAGAAGAGGCAGTTGTATGGCCTTTCTACTTCATTAAAATCGGAACATAAGCATTTTGAAGGTTTAATATGATTCTTCATCGTCTTCGAAAGAGGGAAGAGGTGGCAGCCTGCTGGGTTTGATGACCTCCATGACCTTGATCCTCCTGGGATCCCAGACGCAGTCCTCCTCCAGTCCGCTCTTCACCATCCCGCAGTGTGGGGGGACCCAGGCCGTGTCGTAGCCGTGCTCGTGCCAGGTCTTCTGCAGGTGGTGCCCCTGCTTGTTGATCTTCTTCACCTTCCCGACATCGACCTTCAGCTTCAGGACTCTCCTCTGCTGCTCGGGCACCTCGATGGGGTACCTGGAGGCCTTCTGCAGGTCCCGGCTCATGTAAACCCCCTGCCCCAGCATGCCATCCTCGGACGGACAAAATCCATTCCTCTTGATGGGCTCGACTGCCTCCTTCGTGGTGCCGTGGTACATGATGTAGACGTTTCCGCTGACGGGCTCTGAGAATCTATCCAAAGTGTACAGCTCGATCTTCGGCCCTTTCCTTCTAGCTCGTCCCATCCTGACGGCACTCGCGCCTCTGTATGGGCTGCAAAAGGAAGTGTAGATCTGAGTCGTTTCTGTTCCAGCTGAGGTCATGAATCATGCCTTTGGCAGCGTGTTTGCAGATGAAACTGGGTGTGTATTTCCTGACATGCTGTTTAGTCTAGAGGCTGATTCCTACATTAAGCTGACATCTCTTTTACAGTAGCCATCACTGAATTTAATCACTTAAACAATATTGTTTTCTCAGATGTATTCTGTTACAGCTATCCTTAAGCTGATATGTACTGTATATACGAAACACGTACGTACTGTATATATGTGTGTCTTTATCACAAAACAGCAAGTCGAAGTTAAAATAAACGTGATGGAGAGAGAGGCACCATACTGGGATACAAAGCAAGGAGCTCAAAGGAGCAGCGTGTCAGGATGGACAAATAGGGGGGAGATGCAAATGCAGATGTATGAGGTGAATTTCAGGGGAAGGGTGAAAGTCTATAAACGAACAGTGAGGGTTTGACAAGAATTTAGTCCATCCATAATTGGTTAATGCTAGGGGAAAGTATGATCTTAATTTTAGGATAATTTTGACTTCTGATGTCTTGATGAAATAAGAGACCTACAAAGCCTGTAAAAGGATGCAGCCACCATCAACACAAGGCATGTTTAGCCGGAGCAGAAGCTACTGCATCGCCTGCAGTTCTATATGTAATGATCCAACAGGTCCTTTCAAGTTCACCCAGAGACCATCACATTGATATAGCAATCTCATTGGTTGATCAAGATGTCGCCCTACCATCTTTATATATAACTACCATTGTGTTTTATTTTTTGTTAACTTTCTATTACTTCATCTCTGAATAGTTTTAAAAACTCTTTGGTCTTTATGGTTAAACTGTTGCTTGTAAATTCACCGTCTGACTGAGAGACTTTAATGAGGCAGGTGTATTTCTTAATGAAATGATATAAACCCCATTTATTTATCAAAGAGGGCACTCAGCTAATTGCTAGTAGCTCGTTAAGACCAGAAAAGTGCCAGAGAAAAAAACAGGTAAGGATTTGAATGCTTACGTAATCATACGTATAATACATATAATCCATTTATGTCTTTCCTTTTAAAGTTTGTGTACATGACCAGGCTACTTTCAGATGACTGCAAGCTTTAAAAGAAAGGATGTGAAAGGATGTGAAAACTGTGAGAAGGAGCTGTGTGTGTTATACAGACATCCGTGTTATTTCTGGTGTATTATTTCAATAAAAATGTTTCCTATCTGAATGAGGCTAGTTATTGAAGGCATTATAAAAAAAAGGATGTGAGCTAGGGAAAAAGTTAAAGCAGTAATCAGTTTTCAAGTCTATACTGTATATAATCTTTTTTTTATAATTCTCGTTAAGAAAACACAGTTCTGTTAAAGCTAGATTTTTCTCATACTAAGGATTTTTTTAAATGGAAATGTCTGAATGGTTGTTTGGCTTCGTTATTTTACAGTTAACAGTGCCCAGTCTTGCTGGCAGCCCAATCAATGTCTTTCTGAACGTCAGATAGGTCCTGCTTCCTGTTTGTTTCTTAAGTCGGTTATTATTAACACATCCTGTGACCCAGCAGATGAACATGGCATTTTTTTAAAGCTATTTTGCTGCTGTTAGCAGGACAGTAATTGCGGGAGAGAAGATCGGCCTGCAGAATAAAACAGGCTCCGTCAGGATCCTAGACAGAAAGGGACGTGCCCTGATACAGGTCCAATTTACTTTCAGTATCTTAATCGCTCAAAGTCTTCTATAGGAAACATAAATTATTAACTTTTTCGTACTCTTTTCTCCTAATGTGAATTTAAAAATGTATTCAAAAATGATATTGTTTGATTGTAGCTGCAACTTCAATTACTAAATCCCCTCATCTGAAGCAGCAAGATTGTAGATTATTAGTTCTTAATAAATTCTAATTTATTTAGATACATTGGTACTTACATAATAGAGCGGATAAAAGCCGGTTTGAGAACAGCCTCTTCTTTGCCCAGAGATGATTGTTTGTTTCCTTTCAGTTCTGTAACTCAGTTAATGGTGGGCGGATCCTGTACATTTCCCTGAAGGCTCTTTATTTAAGATTAGAGACTTCACATCTGTAGTATATGGCTGTTCTTTCACACATATCAGAGTTTCTCTCCAAATACGAAAAACTCTTGTAATGAAAGTGTAATGAAACCATTAACCATTAAAATCTATTTTAAGAGCAAGGTATGTTGGCCATTAAGCTGAATGCTCAGCAGTGAATGATTTTCATACTTGTTTTACTTGTTGTTGCATTGGAGCATTGCTTTTAAAGGACTGTTTTCAAGGTTTTTTTCTCCTCCTCAGTTGCAAACCTTGTTTCAAATAACGGGCGTGCCTTAAAAAAATCCCACTGCCACCTCGTTAGAAAAAGTAGAACCATTTGTTAAATCGATTTTCAAAAATATATTGAAAAAAGTGTACTGCAGGATTGTCAGTACATACTGTACAGTATCTATAAAAAGCATTCACCCCCTCCCAATGATGCCACAGTTTGTTGAATTAAAAGTGATGTACAGTACAGTGAATATTTTTACACAAAATTTGAAAGCTCCAACGAAGTGCATTTATGGCTGAAATCTCACTGTATTTCCTATATAATTACTAAATTATAAATGTATGAAATGAAAACAAACATGAAAATGATATGTTCAAATTTTGAGTTTTTATTTTCAGTGTTTTTGTTAATCTTACAAGTGGATTGGGGATTTTTTGGCGGATGAGATTTTTTTTTTCTTGCTGTAAGTTAAGGGTTGTTATAAAAACATAGTACCAATGTCTTTTTGTTGTGCTAGTTAAATTTCATTAGAGCCTTTTAAGACATTAATTCATGAAGCAGTTTATCATTAAACTTCCAAAACACAATTTGGTTTTCAAGGGGTATTTTGGTAATGTATCCAAATATTTCACATATACAGTATCATTGACTTGATTCCAGTGCTTAAGAAAAAACAGTTGTGGTAGGCTTCTGCATTTGTGACCTTTCCTGGTTTGTAGAGAAAACCCCCTTTCTCCTGTAGTACCTCTGTTGCCTTGGTGAATTTGGTTCTCCAACATATTTCTGTTTTTTAAGTACTCTGATTAGATAGCTTAGATTAGATAGCTGGCAGAGAAGAACTACATATGTTGCCTTTGTTGCCTCTCATCCAATTTAAATACAAATTTAAATCCTGTTTCTATGGATCAACACTTTCCTGTGAGTTATTGTTGAACTGTCCTGGAGGAATTATTTAATACTGATAAAAGCTAGTGTTATTTTGATTATCGCTCCACGCAGAAATGTGCCACAGGGCTGTTTTGAAAAATTGTGGTGTCAAGAGAAGAGCTGGTGACTCATCTAACGGAAAACCACTGCACTGGCATGCTCATTCGTGTTTATACCAGTTGTTCACTCAGATCTTTAGAATGGAAATTCCCTATATGCTGACATGAGCGGAAGCAGACCAGACTATTAGGGAGAAATTCTATGAATGTGTGTCCAGCGACTGTGCCAGCTGTGAAGAGGTTCTAGCTAATGGCTAAAGAGATAAAGAGACTTGAGAAACAGTCCCATCCTTCAGCAGTTAATCTGACAGTTGTTTCTAGGGTGCACATCAATCGTATCTGTGTCAAAATACCACACTTGCGTAGTCAATAACAGTATTTTCAATAGTTCAGAGTAGGGTATTTGGTGAAGCTCGCCTCGCTGAGGTATGGCAAGCCCCCTCAATATTGCCCGGACTGAACTAGGGAGCTCCTGCAAGGGTAGAGATGCGAGGCTTGTCCCCAGTGCGAGATATACTCGAGATATACTGTGTATGCACATATATTTAATGTGGAGGTGGGGGAGATAAGGATCTAACTTTCCTCCTAAACTTCAGTTCCAAACTCCTTTGTTTTCCGTTCTGATGTTCAGTGATTTCTATTCAGCAGCTCTGTTTAACTGAAGAGCTAAAGAGATACAGTCAACATCATCAAGTCCTGTGATGCTTGTGATGTAAATGTACCACAAAGAGTGAGAACCAGAAACGAGCAGCAGGGATTCTGCGCAGATAACTTTTCTTAACTTGAACCATCCCAGTATCCCAGCTGCAGTCTTTTTCAAAAACCGTGTTTGACTGTCCCTCAATTCAGGCTGTGTCATTACAGTGGTTGTGTCAGGTCTGAGGGTGTCTCTCTCCCACTGCAAACATTGTCCTCCACATTCACCTTCAGCACAGTAGCTGCTGGCCTTCAGAAGGTCCCACCTGACCTAACTGTATTTGAAGAGGCATCATTTTCTTGCCTTACTGGTAAAAGTAATCATGTTTTGTGAACAAAAGACATGCTGTCTAACTTTCATAATTAAAGCAAATGGTCTGATAATATCTTGACATAGAAATAGAGCTGAAAACACTATTCCCTTCCCTAAACACATCACCCCATATTCGAGTTTGCAAGGAAAGGATTTATTCATTTGAAAATTTAAAATTCGCTCCAGACGTTAATGTAAATGAGTGAATATTTTTAAGACTCGTCTAGTGTGAGGTTTTCACAGAGGAGTTCTGCAGCTTGGATATGGGTATACTGCTTGCTTTTGGGCTGAGAAGTGAGCGATGTTCTGCACTAGAGGGTGAAGAAGGCCCTGAAACAGAAAGCTCAGTGCTTGTGTTCTTGAAAAGAAGGGACAAGATCGTTAAAAGACAGTAACTCTTGGAGACTGCAGGCTCTTAAAATGCACAAATGACTGGAGAGATGTTCCTTGCAAGAGATATAGGCATGTTTAATTGGTCTGTGGTCTGTGGTTTAGCTTTATACATGAAAAGGGCAACATTCTGAAATCAAATTGCAGAGCCTTTTCCTTGCAAAAAGGCTCTGTATCAGAACATCGTATTTAAACTGTGTATGTTTCAGGAATATGAATACTTTTGTGTTGGTATTTTTAAACTCTGGTTTTATCAATTGTATTCTAAAACCTACTGTGTTTATACTTATAACTTACCGTTCAAAGAACCATAATAATATTTTGTCATATCTCCTTGGGTGTAAGGTCATTAAAAGTCAAACAGCCCTGATAATATAATGGAGAGCTCTTTAATGTTTTTGATTGACATCCCTAAAGGGGAAGAATATGTGTCCATATGTCCATTTTACAATGCAGCGTGTTGATTTAAAAGAGAAAAACAAAAATAACATTTTATGTAAAAACAGTAACTTCTACTGACTACCTTGTGAAGCTCAAAATTTGTATTAAAAGTCTTAGGTTTTCAGTTGTTTTTTATATTCATTAGGACAGAAAAATGTCACTGTTGAAAAAAATTACTTATGGAATTTAAAAAGAATTGTTTATGAATATATGTAAGCAATACACACAAAGCATTTTTTTTCCATTTATCTTTATTTTACCTTGAGTTTAACTGGGAAAATGACCAAAGTTTCACACACATTTTGCAATGCAAAGATTTCCCCGTCAATAAAAACAATTACTGGCCGCGTGACCTGGCGGATTACAGACTGGATAAGGTACACGGGGATGAATCTCGGAGATCACTGTGATCCTCCGGGGATCCCAGACGCAGTCCTCCTCCAGTCCGCTCTTCACCATCCCGCAGTGTGGGGGGACCCAGGCCGTGTCGTAGCCGTGCTTGTGCCAGGTCTTCTGCAGGGGGTGCCCCTGCGTGTCGATCTTCTTCACCTTCCCGACATTGACCTTCAGCTTCAGCACCACCCGCTGGTGCTCGTGCACCTTGATGGGGTAGTTGCTGGCCTTCTGCAGGTCCCGGCTGACGTACACCCCATGCCCCAGCATGCCATCCTCGGACGGACAAAATCCATTCCTCTTGATTTTCCCGGCAGCTGCTGGCGTGGTGCCGTGGTACATGATGTAGGTTTTGCCATCCTCAGGCTCGGTGTAGCTCTGCAGGCAGGGCACAGAAGTAGGGTGGAAGTCGTCTTCTGCCCACATGTCTCAGGGCTGACAGCAATGGAGGTGATAAAGACCAGAGACATTACACACCAGTTTGACTACAGCAGAGTTTTTTTTTTTCAAAGAATGTACTTCTTAAAACCAGTAAACAAAACCACTTCATTCCCACTGCCTACTGCCTACCTTAATGTGGTTAGCAAAGGCAGCTACATAAATGAATAAAATGGAACCGGAAGCACCTGTCAAAATTTGTAATAAATTGACATTTTTAATTGCCAATGTAATTGATCTCTGATAAATGTTAAGACCTCCTCCTTTTCACCTGATTTGTCTTTAAATGCCTATAAACAAATAATCACAGTATTTAAATTTTTTAAACTTAAACTCCAAAAAATATTAACTTTCAAATTGTTTAAAAAATAATATTATGGAAATATTTCTTATAAATACATTGAACTATTATTTTTTTTAATTCAAAAATGCATCCGACCTCTTTACGATCATACCTTCAAAACTTTGAGGCTGCACTAAGTGGAGGCTTTTTTAGTAGACCAAATATTAAGTTTCATTTCCCAGGAAAGAGTGTTAAAATGGAAACGGATTTCATTGCTTGTTAAAAGAGTAACTTCTCTGTGGATTTTTTTTACTTTGTCAATGTCAGTGTGCCTTAATGTCTTTGCTTTGCTTTCAGGCTTTTAAAATGATATCATACAGATCGTGTAAGTTAAAACAAATAGGTAAGAATGTAATTTAACTAATTTAGAAAGCATAAAAAAACACCGCTCTACTTGTTTAAGGAACAGTGTTTATGGAATTTTCCCTCTCCTATCAGACAGAATATCAGTAACATTCAGTTGTAGCTAACAAGCTGTTTTAAAATTTAAACATGTCACTTGCTTTTATTATCTTATAGAAAAGCTTTCTGAATATATCTCAATGGGCATACTGCATTTATATAAATCACTTGTCTCCATTAAAACCACTTTAGGGATAAAGAAAAGAAGGCTTTATAAGCTATCTGTAGAATTTGAAAAAAGCTACATCTCTTTGAGAAAAACATAGCCACCTTTTTGTTTAATAACTTTATCAAGAACTTTGGACTTTTTCAATAATGGTTTACTTTCATTTTCACTCAATACCGTTAGGAGCTGTTGTGTCTTACTAGAATTTAAATATATGTGTTTATTATGTGTTTATTAAATATATGTGTCTAGAATTTACTCTATCAATACATTAATAACCTAATTTAATTTTGTACAAAGAGGCAGGAATGGTTAATTTAATCTCTATCTTGGTAAAAAGTACAATACATTTTGGTTGTGAGAAAATGGCCATCTGTAACTGAGGCACATGATATTCATAATTTTTTTTTTCCATTAACGCCATATTCTGTGCTGGCATTTTGGAATGAAAGGGTTAATTAATTTCCTTCCTTTGGAAATCCATCTTACTCTAATAAAGTCTTACAAAATGCATAGCACACCAATGTAAAACAAGCTGATATCTGCAAATATAAGCTTTTCCCTCAATAAAAGTTTCTTGAACTCTAAACTACTAATTGATAGTACTACTAAGGATGTGTGTTCATTACTCTTTGATGAGATAATACTGCCAAGTACTGTTTTTACATCGTGTCGAGCATCAGAAATGAATGATATTGTTGGATATGGAAGGTGTTAATACTCGGGCTGGTGACTGTAAAACAATTTAATATTAAAAAAAAGCCTACCTGCTCCAAGTTCACAGCAACTTCTGGCAGCTGGGAGACTCCGACCTATTCGTAGATTAAACTTGAAGTTTATTTTTCCATTATATAAGCACACATCTCATTTGAATATTTTTACATGATATACTTCCTGTTCTATTTTCCTGTAGTTTCATTTCCAAGTACAGCAACACAATTGAAAGAGAATAATGTGTTTTGGCTAGTGTCCAAATTCAAATTACAAAATGTTAAATGCGTGTCCCAAAAGAGAACAAGTATTTTAAAAAGCAAACTTGTTAATGTATTACAGTGGAAAGACACTGACATGAATTCAACTGATAATACACTAATAATACATATAATACATTAATAACTGATATTCAGCCATATCCATTTAAAGCTTGTCTTAAATTTGAGACTTTCACTATTTAAAAAAACTGTCAGATAAACAATGTTTAAAGTACTTGTGTTTATTTTAAACTGGGACTAATAACCACAGTTCTTAAAACAAATACTTGGTTTGAGTCAAGAAATTAAATTGTTTTTTAACTGATGCTGCCTATAAAGCATAAAATAATTGAATCTTATTTTCTTAGTTTAGAGGCTTGAGTTAAGTTGCTTATTCTTTGTATAAGCTGGGCACTGAGCTGTGACCAGTCAACGTCTGTTTTTGATTTATTAAGGTGAAAATTATTAAATCAATTTGTGTCTCAAATATTAATGGAAATAATTGAAAGATTAGCATTACTTAATGTACTATGGAACTGGGGTTGGCACTAAACAGCCTTTCTTTAAAATGAGAGAACCTCTGGTTTCCCTTGGATGGGGTACCTGCTGACTTTCTGCCCCAGCATGCCATCCTCGGACTGTGTGAAACCAGACCTCTTGATTTCCCCGGCAGCTGCTGGCGTCGTGCCGTGGTACATGATGTAGGTTTTGCCATCTTCAGGCTCGGTGTAGCTCTGCAGGCTCTGACAGCAATAGAGGCTGGAAAAGAAGATGTTCATGACCAGACTCGTTAGACGCTTGTTTTCCTCGAACAAAGTTTTATTTAAAATTATGAACGAGCAGTGCACCCTCTCCATACCCACAAAACTGCTAAAGAAAATGTGAACAAACAGAGGGGGCTACTGTTAATTCCATAAAAACAATTCCAGAAAAATATTCTTAATCATATTCGTTACCCTTTTACACCTGACTTGCCAATAAACAGTTTAGTCCATTTTTAACACATGATCACATTAAAACTTGTTCAGAAAGTCTTGATATATAATATTCGTGGGTCAAAGCTCCACAGCCGAAACATGTTTCTTTTCTTCTCTTTTCAGCTGGAATAAACCTGTACTTTTTCCTCTGCAGCCCACATATGCAGACGCAGCTCCCTACGTGAACTACTTCAGTGTATATATATATAAAAGCATGAATATTAGATATCAATAGATGTTAATTTATATCAAGTAATATAGATTGGGATATTTATAAAATTGTATGTAACTTCTGAATAAAGTCTTATTTATGGAAATAAATAATTTGTTTATTCTTTTAAAAATACTTAAATTATCATCATTTGAAATTCAGTGAAAAATTACTAGATGAAAAGACCATCAAATGTTTGAGGAAGAAGTCAGTGGAGTCGTCTTACTGTAAAAAGTCCAACAGTTAAGTTTCATTTTCCAAGAAAGGGTGTTTAAATACCTCCCTACAAAAAATATTCAAAATATTTGCCCATGAAGAATGTTAGTTGCGTTTACCTTAAATTTCTATATTTTGCTTTCAGATATTTAAAATTAGGAACATAAAGATGTTACACAGTTTTTTGTTCTATAGAAAAAAACGTCTCAAAGTTTCTGTATGGACACATGGTATTAATATATAAAACTCCTGTCCTCAAAACCAATCGAGGGATAAAGAAAAGCAGGTTTTAGAAGTGTATGTGAATATGAAAAATGCCACATTTCCTTGAGAAAAAACGAACACACTCATCTTTTATCGCCAATAACCTTCTCAAGAACTTTTTTTGCTTTTGCTTTTTGATAATGGCTTTTACATGTTTTCCTTCCTCTGCTTAGATTTAACTTTTATTTCCAAATATATTAACACAATGTGAGAGAGAATAATATGATGTAGTTTAGGTATCCAATTAAACCTTAACATACATTTGAAAGATTTTAAGTACAGTATTTTAAAAACCTTTGTCAGGTAAATAATGTTTAATGTAGATGTTTACTGGTGATAAGATGCACACTGTACTTATAAATTAAAATAAACACCCCCACAAAAAAAACTTTGTGTCAGTCAAGAAATGAAACTGAAACCATTTTACTTTATAAACCGATACTCCTAACTGTGCCCAAAGATCTGGACTAAATTAAGTTAAAACAAGATTATATAAACATTTGCTTTCAAAATAAAAACAAATAAAAAAATACAATTACAGTTTATTCAATCTCATCCATGACACTCATGATTTCCACATTTCTGGGTATTTCTTTATTAATAGAGAAAACAAATTATGTTCTTCATTAAAGCAGTATATTTTATCCTTATTGAATAATTAAAACATTTTTATCATCAATTTATTTTATTGTTATATAGAGCCTTTTCAAGACACTTTTCATACATTGTACAGTAAAAACAAGTATAGTATACAGAATACATAATAAAACCAGATATCATTTTAAAAATGAAAAGAAAGAAATAGATGAAGAAGTAAAGGCTGCCAAAAATGATAAGCTTTAAGGAAAACGTCAACACCATAACAATTACAGAATTTCTGTATGAAATGAAAAGTGTAAAAGTGCTACACTGCAGTAGTAGACAACACCTAATGGCACAGTTACAGTATAAAGTAGCATATCAGGTAGTCCAGGTGGGGGGCTGCGTCAGCATGCGTAGTCTGCAAAGGAACAAGTAACAGGTTTGTTCCATGCTGCTGTTTTCTCTCTTCTCTTTTCAGCATGGAATAAACCTATTACTTGTTCCATATCATATAAAGTACATTCAACCTGATATAAGTGAAGAATCGTTTTTTTATCAAATAAAACCTTATTTAACAAGATGAGTCAGCTGAGAGCACATTTTCATTTACAATGACAAGCTGGAGAGTCTTCATTAATACTGCAATCGGAGTGCAGCTTCCTCCCCAGGAGTACGATAGCAGCATGGCTCCAATCCAGAGTGATTCATCCTGTTGTACAGATTATATCAAGGCCCACATTGTTGGAATCCCCATTAGAAAACCACACCCTTAGCAGTACTCTTGGTCACAGCAAAGAAATGAAACTGAAACCTTTCCACCAAAGAAAAATGAGTTTCTGAACATGCAAAAACAATGTACAGTAAATGGAGTTAATTTATTCTTTGTCTAATATCCTCAAAATCATCCTGGATCACACGGACCTCTAAATAGTACAGTACTGTATACCGTCTGTGCTGTTCACTTGAGCTGACAATTCAAGACATTGCTTAGATTTATACACTTCCAATAGACAGAGAAGACAGAGACACAGACCAACAGTCTGACATACAGTAAAGTTAAACAGCTAAACAGAAAGATATTTTCATCTGAACACCAGATTTCCCTGATCATTTAGCATTGATTTTAGCAACCCGTACAACTTTGTACTTTGAACAGTGGGGTTGGCTGATCGCTATAAAAATATATTTATAGTTTTCCGTTTCTGATTAGGAATTATATTGTAGGTTATTAACGGTGTAAAGATAATCTCCAGGTTTTGTTCTTTGTTTTAGACTTACATGTGAGTTCAAATAGAAAGATATTTTTATCTGTACACCAGATTTCCCTGATTGTTTAGCATTGATTTTAGCAACCTGTTCAACTCTGTGAGGAAACGCAACATTAAGTATTTAGTCATTACTAATTAGAATACAGTATAAGATTATAAGAACAGTTACTGTTAAAACAAGAGGTGGCCATGTCCTGTGATTAGCCCATTTGGTAGTTATTAGTTAATTGATCTGGAAGAATCTCATCCAGCCATTTCTTGAAGGAAACCAGAGTATCGGCGTCAAGTTCTCCTGTTTTCTGTTCTTGGAGTTTTCACTTGTGTCCCTGTGGCTTGTGTTTCACTGTTTGTTTTGGAGTCCCCTGAGAAAACTCCTTCGGCAGCTTGGAGAATTTTGAATACTTGTATGAGCTCCCCTCATATTCCTCTCTCCTCGAGAAGAATAGACATGCATCCCAGATGGGCAATCTCGTTGAAATGCTACAGAACAGCAGGTTTTATAGCTTTTACAGCTGTGTATTAAATTGTCCATCCCCAAACACTTTAGGACATTTAATACTTCAGTAATAAATATTATTTTTTATTTCACAAGGCAGCAATGTCATCGGTTTAGAACGAGTAAGAAATGAACATTCTGAAACGAGTGACATCAATATTACATTTAAAAAAATAAATATAGCTCAATAACTGGTGGCAAAAAAAAGCGTATCACTGCCTAATTTTATGAATACCTGGAATGTTATTAATCATATTCCTTTTTTGGTTTTTAGTCTTAAATATTTGATTAGGCAACGTTTCCATTAGAGCAATAAGTATAGCAATGAAAGAAACAAACAGCTTTCAATTTATGTTTCAGTTCTGTGGGTGAGACATTATTGTAATAACCTAGTACTGTGTCCGAGTATTGGATAAAAACACTAAAAGTGAGTTTGATTTAACACTGCAGACTTTTTCAGAATGCATGTTCTAAGATACAACTACAAATAAACTAATAATAATACCTATGTTTTGTTGTGGCTGCTTTGAAGTATTTATCCTTTACTTTTTCTCTTATTCGTAATTCCGCTTTTCGCTGTTTATTTTTTCGCGTTTACTGTTTTGACCCCATCCGGCTCTCCGTCAGCCCGGATTGTTTTCACGAGCAGTAATGGCCGCCTCCAGTGCGCTTGCTTCTGTCTCCAAAGCCGAGTATCTCAAACGCTATTTATCCGGAGATGGAGATGGCAAAACGTCAAAAAACAAGAAAGCCAAGAAGAAAAGACCGCAGTCTACAGCAAAGGGGTATGTTTCAGGAACCAGTGACTCAATCAGGCACATTAGAAATGCAGAAAGTGACTGAAAGTTGTAGGCCGGACTAAACTTACTGAGATACTGGAGTGGAGTGTATGAGCGCAATCGAGAGCGTTGTCTTGATTTTACCTCTACGAACCGCATAAAACGCTACAGTACTGTATATGTGAGGTTATATTCTCAATAACCCAGGTTGTGGAAGTCTTGAGAAATGTATTTTTGAAGCTGTGCTGTGGGGTCTGATCGTTCTGTTGTGGGAAACTCGAAAGAGGATTATTGGTCGCAAGGTAATTTGGGTCTAACATGTCCAGTGTTTTCAGCTGCAAAGGATCTCTGCTAATCTCTGTGTCGGACATGTTTTCCTGCTCCTCTGGTATTGTAGGACCAGTCTTTCTCTAAAAACTCCAGGAGTCCGGCAGAGAAGATCCTGTGGCGACACCTTTCATTGGGGGAAAAGTGCTTCCTGAATGAGAACTGAGAAGGATTTCTAGGAATCTTTTAAGAGACACGTTTATGTCCATAGAAGAGCTTTTGACGATTTATCGCAATACTGTTCAAGGGAGAGTTGATAGATCACGCCTGTTTATCCACAACAGACCAACAGCTATGACTCTTTTTTTAAAGCGTTTTTATTTGTGGCAGGCTCTATGTCGGTGATTACAAAAAAGAGCATTCCTGCTGTTTTTTTTACGTTTTGCCCTCCTGTTGTTGCTGCTGCTTGCAGGATGAGAATAGTGGATGACGATGTGGACTGGAAGCAGCTGATAAAGTCAGAAGAGAAGGACGACTACGAGGAGGAAGAAGAGGCTCCAGTGGTAGGAATTCCTTTATAGTTTACATTCATTTACAAATGCATTGGCTTAAACTATGTTTAGGTGCATTTCTGCTGTCCTGAACCTTGTGGAGAATCTTTGCACAAAAGCTGTTCCTTCTGCGTGCTCTGTTGTCGTCTTCCTCTTGTAGGTGGCAGAAGTGATAGATGAGCGTCCGGAGGAGGTGAAGAGACTGGAGGAGTTCAGGAACAGCAAGCGGTGGAAAACTTTGGGAGGTAAGAGTAACCGATGCTTACCTGCTCTTTTGGGGCTAGCATTCTGATGATTTAGCATCTATAAAGTTGTACTGTAATTGTCTAGGTGCATACATAATATTTGATTTGAGTTTCTAAGCAGTTTTATCAAATATTATTATGTTTGGTCTTCTAGGTACTAATGAAGATTTTCAGGATTCAGACAAGTTCCAGGGTGTCCGTTCATCAGCAAGGTACAGAACTGATGTTTAATGTATTTTAATTTTTCTTATGATTGTCTCGGCTTTGTATGTGGTACAGTTCGATGCATGTCTGTTAAAGCAGCTCAAATGCTATGAGATCATTTTGACTCACAAGAGGCACTTCCACTGTTAAATTATTAATGAAGAATGCCCCCCAAGAAGCAACACTGTTAGGAGCATTTGTTTGTCCAGGCTTTCAGTATTGGAGTATAAGAGACAATAATGAGCTGTCATTGAGTTTCTTTGGTGCTTAAAATGTGGATATTTCTAAAACATTACAGGTCATAAAACAGAATACATTAAAACAAGTGTGTAACATTTGAGTTCATCTGTGTAATTGTCCATTTCAGTTCAGGAGCTGCCTCTCAAAAGAGAATAGAAGAGACATCAAGAAAAGGTCGTCATGATTCTCCAGATTTTTCCTCTGTGAAAAGGAGCCGTCATGACTCTCCCGACCTTTCACCCCAGCAGAAAGGTCGCCACGACTCTCCCGACCTTTCACCCCAGCAGAA